CAGCTCCCCCAGCATAAGGAAATATGGCAGAGCGATTAAGCCTGCTGCTAAAGCCTTTTCGGGAGGGCGCAAAACCGAGGCGAAACTCCGAGGGAAGGCGGCAGCAGCCGGCGGCGACCGCAAGGGCGGGTCGGGCGCCCACTCACGTTCCCTGTCAGAAATCCCCGGCGGCCGCGGCGGGCCCCCCGTGTCCAGGCAGAGATGGGACTGTAGCTTCCTCGCTCGGAGAGAGAACCGCGTCCACCATTACTCCCCCGGTGCGCAGGCGCAGTGTGCGTTTGTTTACCACGGCCGGGGGGGAGGCCGGACGCGGGCCGCCCGCAGCCAATCAGGGGGCTGCGTCGCGCCGTGGCCACGCCCACAGGCGCCATGTGGGAGACGCCGAGCTCCGGCTACCAGCTGATCCACCGCTGAGGGGGAACGGACCCAAGTTGGGACAGCGGCTCCTGACTGGACTCCCGTTATTAATGTGGACCCATAGTACGAGTTTCTCGGTACTTTGTTTTGTTTTGATTTTTTGCACCCAGCCTCTCCAAACTGTATTTCATCGAGCGATAAAAAGAAGTGAATTAATGTCGAAACAGCCCCTTCTGCGGAATTACAAGGCATGTATTTCTCCCGTGTCACCCTCTGGAGTTCTAGTTAACAGTTAATGGGTTTTCAATCGCCTGACCAACACTCTTCTTGAACACGCTGTTTCATATTCATTTTTTTTTAAAAGGCGAAAAAACTTTTTACTACATCTTGAACAAGCGGCCAAGACCAAAACAAGACACTACAGCTGCAGTTTCTTCCATTCCCAGCCCACTGTCTGACACCAGCTTCATTTTTCTTAAACTAAACTGCCGAGACTGGTGTTATACTTGGAGGCAGCCGACAGCCACTTCTCAGATTCGACCACCGTGCAGCTATTGACGGTGCTGAAAATACACTTCTGAGACAGAAACCTTGGTTTCACTTTTGATTCCGGGTTATGCCTGGACAGTGTCTGCTGAAAAGCACCCATAAATAAAACGGCCCTGTTATGACTTGCTGTCATTCAGGTGTCTGATCCAGTTTGTAAACTGCGCCTGCCACTTCAGAGGCACGGGGGAGCCAGAGTGTCTCCCAGCAAGCAATGCGCGCAAGGCGGGGTACACTCTGGACGGGACGCAAACACACTCACAACAGGTGCAGTTTCCCCCAGACGCCCATTAACCTACCAGCGTGTCTTCGGACTGAGGGAGGAAAGCCGAGCTAACACGGTGAGAACACACAAACTCAATGCTAACCGCGGCCGTAATGTCTGACCTGTTTGTGCAAATTAATTAGCTCTGCCTCAGACGCGCAATTAAGTCCAAACCTTCCCGGTGGGAACATCGAGTTTCAAGTTGGTGACGTGTGGTGCTGAAATACCGGACAAAAGGAATACCATGCGTCGTTTCAAGGTGAATTAATACATCTCCCCCGACCCCCGTACTTTGCAGTTTTCCAAATACCGTTTTACACTCAGGTTTGCTCTGTTGCTACGCAACAGTGTTTGCAGGGCCGTTCAAAAATGGCGCTCGCCTACAGTTCAAACAAAACATCCTCCGGACCCGGCAGGTAAACTCTGCCGCTGGTATTTGCGT